TGCCATCCTCAACTACCTGCTTGCCTGAAGGGAGGTGGGCCTCTGTTAGCTCAGAGTGCTCCGGACTCTGCTCACCCCCCTCTGGGGGAAGGACGCAGTCTCCTGCCACCTAACCATTGCCAGGATCCTCAAGAGGCTTATTCGTGGCTTCCCGCATGCCAGGCCCCATCTTCCTTGGGCGGGGCTCCAAATCTGACAACCGCTTTGGCAGCACTGCCCCACCGTCATTAGTCCAGCAGATGCCGAGCACCCCCTGCAGGACATGGGTCCCTGCACGTGAGTCGCCAGAGGTGGGATATGTGTGGACAATTGCTCAAAGACCAGTTACTTACCCTGTGGTAACCGGTTGAGACGTGTTGTCTACGTGTGTTCCATGACCCACCCTCCTTCCCCACTACTGCAGAGGCCTTGCCAATCTGGGTCCCGTTTAGCAAAGAAACTGGGGAGCAGTTGCAGCCACTTGGCCCCTTAACCTTCAGTTATGGGGTGCTGGAGGGACCTGGGGCGCAGGCAGAGACCCAATGGACAGTGCTACGCAAGAAGATTCTGGTCTCAGAAACCTGGGGCACATGTGAGTGACACGTCTCGAAGAACCAGGCATGCTGTAGGGCAGGGAACCGTTTGCTCCAGCCTCAGATGAGGAAGGTGTAGGGGGTGCTTGTACTAGTCCTGTTTTATGTATTGGGCTGGGTTGGGGTTGAGCTGAAGAGAGTTGATTGAATGTCTGACAGGTCTGTTTCCCAGCCTACCTGAAGGTTGGCCTCTCTTGCTGGCTGTCTCTTTTCTGTCTCTGGCTGTCTCCTCCTCTCCCCATCTGACGCTTTTCTGCCTTGCTTTGTTTGGCCTTCTCCCTCTTTAACTACTTCTCAGCCACTGTCCCCTGCAGCCTGAATCCCTAAGGAATGCTGCTGCAGAATGCTAACCGAGATTTGTGGATCTGAATGCAAAGCAAACCACCCCCAAAGGTGTCTAATCTGCCCCACATCTTTCCTCTGCAGCAGAGTCTCTGTATTTCACGATCCCAGGTGCCTGGGCTTGCACATGGCAGTCATGAAATTACTAGCTGGCAGCCTGCTTCAGTCTTTTCAGCTGTAAGTGCGGTGTATGGGGGACTGCTCGAAGACGGTTCCCGTCCCTGTTTGGATGATGAAGTGTATGTAAGCAAGGCAAGGGTGCTGGCAAACTCCCTGAAAACTCTTTGCCGCTTCTGGTGAAATTCATCCGCCTTGGTCCAAATGTCCCAGCCTCACAGCCGCTCTGGAGACCAGCAGAGCACGTACGTCTCCGATGGCAGACTTTGGGTCCTGGGTTCGTGAAAGCTGTGTCTGGGTTCTGAGCATACGTGCGCAGGCAGCCCTGCGCTGGCCCTGGACCCGACGTAGGGAGGAGAGGTGCTGCATGTTGGACTCGGAAGCTAGTTTAGAGAGAGCTCTGGGACCATGGCACTCCGAGCACACAGGCAGCTGGTCTGTCCCCCTGGATTTAAACTGTATGTTGAACCTTCTCTATTGGTTTGAAGGCAGCTGAATTCCTGAGTAGTGATTTTTAGTTAAGCTTTGGGGAGAGAAGAGGGACACATACGTCTGGGGTGGAGGATGGGGACGGGGGGGGCAATGAAAGAAGATGGATGCACGTGAAGCTAAAAAGCGAAAATCCCATCCTGAGTGGGTTGGTCCCATTGCGAGCGCCTCTCTCCTGCTCCGAATCCTTCCTCCTCCCTGCCTGTGGAGCTGGGCTCTACGCGTCTCTTCTCTCTAGTGCTCACGCAACAGCACAACCAACAGCAGTGTCAGCAGGAAAAGCAAAGCACCTGCTTCTGCTCCTCGGCTGCAGTGGGAACAGGATCGGGCCTTAAGCAGTGTCCCATTCAGGGCTGTGGCCTCTAGCAAGGCAAACTTGAGACTGGGCTATATCTCTAGCAGACTTGGGACCGTCCTTGCAGAATGCCGCTGAGTCCCCTGGGGCTCTTCGTAAAGCGACTCCTCTAGTGTGATTTCGCATAGCACCGCACCCAGAATCTCCCCCGTTCTTTCTGCCCTAGCCCATCGCTCCTGGCTGAGCTAGAGCGCCGTTTTAGAAAGGCATCAATCTGGATTGAAAGCCTTTGTGCTGGAGAATCCACCAGCTCCTTAGGGAAGTGCCTCCAGGGCTAATTCCTCTCCCTGGTTTAAAAAGCAGCACCTTATTCCTAGTCTGAGTTTGTCTAGTTTCAGCTCCCAGCCATGGGACCTTGTTCTGCCTTTTCCGGCTCGATGAAAGAGCCCTCTGCTCTCAGAAATCTCCTTCCTACGCAGGCCTGTAAAGATCCTGAGCAAGTCACCTCTTCGCCTTCTCTGGGCTACGCTAGACTGAGTTTCTTCACTCGCTGTATGGCAGGTTTCCAGTCCTCCGATCATTCTCAGTCGCTCTCTTCTGAGCCCTCTCCAAGCATGAACGCCGGAACTGGAGCCTGTATCTAGTGATGGGCTCACTAACGTTGCAGGCAGAGGTCAACACCACTGTCCGGCTCTTCCTTAATATTCCTCTGCATATTCAAGCATCCAAGTACCGGGTTTGCTCTCTTAGCTGCAGCATTGCACTGAGAGCTCGTGTTCACTTGGTTAGCTCCCGTTACGCCTTCAGTGTCCTGCATTCCAGGGTACTGCCTCCTGTCTTGCGAGCGTGACCTCTGGTCTTTGGGCCGAGATGTATGGCTGTGTTAAAACACAGGTTGCTCAAATGAGCCCCATTTACCAAGCAATCCAGTCAGCTGTATAACTGGCCTGTCCCTGTCATTATTTACCACTCACTCATTTTTTTGTCATCTGCCGATTGGACAAGCAGTTACTGTATAACTTCTTCCGTCTCTCGGATAAAGAGACAGACTAGTGCTGAGCTGGGAGCGGATCCTCACAGGGCCCCACTAGAAACCTCAATATTTAAATTTTTGTTTCTATTTTTTTGTCGGGGGGGGGACGGGGACCAAGCCAACGTATGTTGTCAGCAGCGTCACTTTTATCACCCAAACCAGGCGTCGGCGACCTTTCAGCAGTGGGGTGCCGAGTCTTCATTTATTCACTCTAATTTAAGGTTTCGCGTGCCAGTCATACATTTGAACGTTTTTAGAAGGTCTCTTTCTATCTGTCTATAATATATAACTAAACCATTGTTGTATGTAAAGTAAATAAGGTTTTTTAAATGTTTAAGAAGCTTCATTTAAAATTAAATTAAAATGCAGAGCCCGCGTGCCATAGGCACCTCTGACCCAAACTGTAATCTCCTCAAAAATGAGAGTTTGACGAGACCCTATTTTCCAATAAAAACCCCAGTGACAGGCATGAATTCTGCTGCCATCATGTAACTCTTTGACTGCCCCCCCTCTGTATCAGCCTTTCCATGAGTGTGCTCAGAACTGACCCCCGGCTGGTGGCCTGCCGTTATCCACAGCAGCCATTTTACCTTCTTTGGAATATTGGCACATCCACTTTTCCCCCAGTCCTCTAGAACCTGCCCAATGTTCCCAGGTTCGTCAGAGAGCCCCTGGGTTAGTTTTACCAGGAAGGCTGGAGGTCAGGGCATGGGACAAGGGCTCAGAAGATCTGGGTTCAGTGCCAGGCCTTGTCACAGATAGACTGACCTGCCTAAGCTCACACAGGATGTCTCTGGGCCTCAGAGGTCCCCTCTGTCCGATGTGGCCCACAGCCCTGCCCTGCCTGCAGGGGCATTGGGAGCATACTTGGGGAGAGATCAGACACTTTAGTATAGTACAGGGGCCATGTGAGTGTGGTGACTGTGACCCACTAGGTGCTGTCTTGCTGTATCTCAGCCACTCGTACCCTTAGAAGTACCCTGTCTTTATTTTACTAATTTCAGAAGCACTTCTGGTTATTGTAATTAGCTCTATGACCCTCTTTGTCTTCTGTTCAGTAGTTATCAATCTGCAGCCAGCACAGGCCCTGGACGTGCAGCCGAGGGGAAGGAAACCAGAGAAAATATAAACCAGTGAACTTCCCTTAAAACCAGGCCCACTCCTTGCTGGGGACACTCTGGCCCAAGGGAGAGAGGCAGTTCATGAGGCCAAAGGGAAAGGGGAGGCCCCCAGCCTGGGGGTGGAGAGGGCTCCAAGGAAACGGGCTGAGAAGCTAGAGAGAGTAGAGACATCGTCTGCCACCGAGCAAGAGAGGCAGCAGCAACCTGGGCGGCCTGGCTCCTGGACGGAGAGTCCTGCCTGGGAATCTGCCCTTCTGCACCAGCCCCTCGGCCCCCGCGGGAGGAACGTGCAGGGGAACCTAAACAGAAAATCCCCCTAGTACGTTCTGCTTGGGCCTCGTCCGTCTGGAACACCAGGTGCACCGGGGCTCCCCGGCCCTTGCAGTGTCGTGTTCCCCTCGCCCTGCCTTGCGGGAGAAAGGAACTTAAGGCAGCTCACAAGCCGTTCATACGTTTAGCTTTCTTGACCCTTCCTTGAAACCTGCCCTGGGGTCCCCTTTCAGAATGAGGTGTTACGGGGCTTTGGGGAAGCTGAGGTTTTACTGCATCTCAGATGATGGCTTGGTTCATATTCCTCCCCCACCCCCGCACTGGAAACCCAGCACTCCGACAGCTCCATCAGGCTGAGCTGGCACAGACCATTAATGAAAGGTCGCGCTGGGGTTCGAGAGAGACCCAAAGGACTCAGCTTGTCCCAGGGACTGCTCCCTCTTGGGCCTACATCTTAGCGCGGGCTTTGATTTTTCCGAGGGGCTCAGCGCCACAGCACCTGGAGTGGAGCGCTCAGCACCTCTGAAAATCCGGCCCAGGTGTTCCAAGTTGGGCACCCAGAATCGGTGGTCACTCTTGAGAACGTTGGTCTCCGCGCGTTAGCGAAGCTGCTGTCCCAGAGCAGTGATCAGGGCGTGGCTGCTAGCCAGCACCTCTGTGCTGCCACCCCCAACGACCGCAGACCAGCTTCCCTGCCTGGGCTGGTGGGGTGGGATGCAGCTCTTACAAAGGCTAACGAGCCCTTCTCTCTGTTCCTGCAGCCATGACCGCCTAGCCGTGGGGTGAGATGGAACGCTTCACCGACTCTGGAACTCAAACGGATGCGGTGGTGGTGCTGTCCCTGGCCCAGGCCGCTGTCTTGGGCTTGGTGTCCGAGAACGAGTTCTTCGGCGCAACCATCAGCCCTGGAGGCTTCTTTCCCGGGCTAGGAAATGAACTTGCAGACACGGCCACGGTAGAACCAGAGGATCCGGAAGGCGCTTACAGGCTGCAGAAGGACGGCTGCGTCCCAGCCGAGGCGCCGGAGGAGGAGGGGCTGGAGGCAGAGACTCCATTTGAAAAACATACCCGGAGGAGGAAGCGGCCCCCAGTGAGGCTGGTGCCCAAGGTCAAGTATGAAAACCCTGCGGGTGCGGAGGAGGAGGTGGCGTATGAAGTGTCCGTCCCTGGCGACAGCAAGGAGGAGACGCCGAGCAGCCACCCGCCCAGCCTCGAGGAGTCGGGCTGTGAGAAGACCGTGCAGAGCAGTGCCATGAAGATGATTGACCTGAGTGCTTTTGGCAGGAAGCCCCGGCGCTTGCGGCATCTGCGCAGACACGTGCGGCAGGACGTGGGCCTGGGGAGTTATGACCCCGTCCAGGTTGGTTACGCTGAGGCCAGCGTGGGCGGGGCTCCGGCAAGCACCGGGCCAGAGGCCCTCGGAAGCGAGTGCAGCTTCGAGGCGAACGCTGCGTCTCTGGAGGCGCCCATGCCAGAGTCGCCAGAGCAGGGGAAGAGCGAGCAGGGCTTTGCGTGGCAGGAGCCAGCGGATTTTGACGCAGACGCAGCTGGAGTTAACACGGAGCGCAATAAAAAGGCCCAGCTGGACCGGCTGGACATCAACGTGCAGATCGACGACTCCTACCTGGTGGAGGCGGGGGACCGCCAGAAGCGCTGGCAGTGCCGCATGTGCGAGAAATCCTACACCTCCAAGTACAACCTGGTGACGCACATCCTGGGCCATAACGGCATCAAGCCCCACTCCTGCCCGCACTGCAGCAAGCTCTTCAAGCAGCCCAGCCACCTGCAGACGCACCTCCTGACGCACCAGGGCACGCGGCCGCACAAGTGCGACGTGTGCAGCAAAGCCTTCACGCAGACCAGCCACCTGAAGCGGCACATGCTGCTGCACAGCGACATCAAGCCGTACAGCTGCCACTTCTGCGGGCGGGGCTTCGCCTACCCCAGCGAGCTGAAGGCCCACGAGGTGAAGCATGAGAACGGGCGCTGCCACGTGTGCGTGGAGTGTGGGCTGGACTTCTCCACGCTGACGCAGCTCAAGCGCCACCTCTCCACGCACCAGGGGCCCACGCTCTACCAGTGCCTGGAGTGCAGCAAGTCCTTCCACTACCGCAGCCAGCTGCAGAACCACATGCTGAAGCACCAGAACGTCCGGCCCTTCGTCTGCACCGAGTGCGGCATGGAATTCAGCCAGATCCACCACCTCAAGCAGCACTCGCTCACGCACAAGGTGCGAGCAGCCGCTGAGCCCGAGGGCTTTCCCTGCCCCAGAGAGCAGGGGGTGGGACTGGGGGAGGGGAGGATTTCAGTTCTTAGAGCTTTGACTGTCCCCACTGGGGGTCAGGATTAAGCAGGGATCTGTCCCTTCGAGCTGGCTGTTGGTTTGCATTGATGACTCATTTGTTGGTAGGACAAAAGGACATCTGAGTTTCCAGGGGCCTGTGTGACCTCCTTTCCCTTCTGGGGGGGGCGGAGGGGGGCGGCTCTGGGATCTGCCTTCCCTGCTTGTGGGGCGGGGACAGTGCAATATGGGTGCTGTGGGGCTGGCCGGCCACTCTGTCACTCTGACCTTGGCCTGAGACTGGAGTGTTTCCTGCCTCTCAGGGGAGCAATTCTCCCAGCTCAGCCCGTGTGCAAAGCAGAATGCAACACCCCTGGTCTTGGGCTTAGAGACCAGTCTGCCCTCTCATTCACAGCGCCCCTTCCCCAGAGGGTGGCCGGGTCTGCCCATGGGGCTCAGGCAGGGCGTAGCAGTCTGCGTTTTGCCCCGGCCATGCCCTGTCCACTGGAATGGACCAGGAGCTTCCAGCCAGCTGGGGTACCTGCAGCCCAGGCCCGAAGGGAATGGTTCTTACTCTCCTGCCAAAGGAGGTGCCGAATGCACCCAGAGGCACTTCCTGCTCTGCTGAGGGGAAGCCAGGAGTAAAGGGGGGCGTGGGCAGAAAGATTCCCCACGCAGGCGCGCCTGGGCTCAGCTCACAGGGAAGACGGCTGAGCTTTGGGGGATCCCTGTGTCTGTTTCTGCAGAAGGCAGGAAAGGCTGGGGCGGGTGAGGAAACAGGAAAGATTTTGAAGGAGGTGCAGACAAGTTGGTTGCACTGACCCTTTGTTCCTTATGCTCTGTGTCCTGTACAGCAGTTTATCTCAGGAGCAGAGACACGTCCTTAGATCCCCCAGTCTCTGCTCCGTGCTCCTCACGGTCACTGGGGGAGACCGATATGCCGCTGAACGTGCCTGAGCTGGGCAGAGGCGTTCTTGTGCTCCATGCAGGGAGCCTGCCGTTCAATGGACTAGGAGGGGGGGCCCCTCCCTGCAGTCCTTTGAGCTGGTCCCCACTAAATAGGCACGCTCCAATTCAGACAGTTCGCTTCAAGTTGTGTGGTATTCGTCAGTGTGCTCCCGTCGTGCTCACGTCTCCTGTGACCCTTTCAGGGTGTGAAAGAATTCAAGTGTGAGGTGTGTGGGCGTGAGTTCACCCTGCAGGCCAACATGAAGCGGCACATGCTCATACACACCAGCGTCCGTCCGTACCAGTGTCACATCTGCTTCAAGACTTTCGTGCAGAAGCAGACCCTCAAGACCCATATGATCGTGCACTCGCCGGTGAAGCCATTCAAATGCAAGGTACCCTCCAAAATCCTTCTGGGGCATGGCCCCTTCCTTGGGGCTGACATGCCCATGCTTTACCTCTGCAGGGCACTAGCCAGCCTGGGCTAAGGTCACCAGTGCCCCCAGAGCCGCAGCACCAAACAGTTCAGCCTGGCTTGCAGTGTCTGCTCCGGAATTGCAGGGCCGCAGCTCTGCACTGGGGCCTGTCGGCAAAGCTGGGCGGGGAGTTTGAAGTGCACGTGCCCGTGTTGAGCCCCTCACTTTCATGAGCACTAAAAGTCACACCCAGTCTCGCCAGCCCGGTGCCGGCAGGGGGGTGGGGGCGGAGGGATGAGACTAGTTCAGGTCTATGTGGAAAAGACGGGGCTTGCTGGGAAGCCCAGATCCTTAAGGCAGCCGGCGGCGGGGGCAGGAGGGGGTGATACCATGTGCAGCGAGAGGGATGGGGCTTGGCTAATGGGTGGCCTGTTGTTTCCAGGTTTGTGGGAAGTCCTTCAACCGCATGTACAACCTGCTGGGACACATGCACCTGCACGCAGGGAGCAAACCCTTCAAATGCCCCTACTGCTCCAGCAAGTTCAACCTGAAAGGCAACCTGAGCCGGCACATGAAGGTCAAACACGGGGTCATGGACATCAGCCTGGACAGCCAAGGTGGGTGTGGCAGCCTGCGGGGCTCCTGGCCGGGGGGGGAATCCAGCATTGACAGGGCACCCGCGAAGATCTGGCCAAACCCTGCACGACGGCTCCCTCTGCAGGTGCCTTTTGGAGCCTGCAGGTCCCCCACTAACCCCGGCTCCTGGTCCCCTGCTGTCCGCTAGCCCTCCATTGGGTGTGTGTGTGTGGGGGGGTGCGTGCGCGATACACACTACTGTGGGCTGCCCCACACGTGTCCCTGCAGCACCGAGGCTGTCAGGTGGAAGCTGGCGGTTCGGGCAGCTGGTTGGGGGCAGTTGAGGCTTCTGGTAGCATCAAGGGTGCATCTCCGCCTTCCCCTCCCTTTGGCCAGGGCTGAGGTGACTGTTCGGGGATGGAATTCTGTATTCCCAGTCTCTGGCCCTCCCTCCCCCAGGGATGGCGAGATGCTTTAGCTGGCTGGTTCTGCTCAAGCGCTCTGCAGTGAAATAGCTAACGATGTTGCCATTTAATGGTCAGTATTAGTGTTCAGACTCTAGCCTCCAGCAGGAACAAGGAGCTGTTGTTTCAAGCTGACTACAGCCTCCCTCCATGGGCTGTGCCTGGGCCATGGGTTCTCGTCTAGTGCTGTACGCCCGTTAATGAAAGCCGAGATTCTGCTATACTGCTGCAATTGAAAAACCATCCCCATGGCCCCAGAAGTGCATTGTACCTGGCGTGCTGGCCCATGTCTACTGCTGTAGTCACTCTGCACCAGAGACAGCAGCACGCCATGGGGCAGCCCCTGTCCCACTGGGCGTGTGAGCCAGCTGGGACACAGCACACCAGTGCTGCCTGGCACTCGGGCACAGTGTTACCAAGTCTGAAGCCTGGGCCCCAGAGTGCAAAGCCATCTCCCACTGTCAGCTGCAGCACTGCACTGCCACTGCTCCAGGGCCTTGAAGAGACCTTGCAGGTGTGGGTCACGGGCTGCCTCCTTTGCAGCCCTTTCCTGGCAGACCAGCTCTGGGCAGGCATGCCGGCCTCTCCCTCCCTGGCTGTCCGCCAATATGTGAGCCCCACCTGCCAGGAGCATCAGAGACGGTTGTCTAGCTCCCCAGCCAGCCGTGCAGTCCTGGGGGTTTGGGGCCAGCTCTCCAAGAAACGCCCTGCCCATGGCTGTGCTGCTGGGCCGTGCTCGCTCCGCATCGCGCACGGCCGCCCTGTCCTGCTCCGTCCCAGCGTGTCACGTTGTTCCTAGATCCCATGATGGAACTGACCGGGGCAGAGCACACGGAGCTGGACGCCCAGCAGGAAATGGAGGAGTATGACGAGGAGAATGCCTATGACTACGCAGGGGTGGGCAACCCCCCGGACGAGAACGCCCTGACGGAGCAGGCCATGAAGGAAATGGCCTATTACAACATGTTGTAGCTGACAGACGGGGGCCAGGCCCAGCCAGGTGCAGGGCCACGAGAGGGAGTGACATGGGGAAAACAAGCTCCTGTCCCGTTGCAGCATCCAGAACCAAAAGCCAGGCTCAGCAGGGCCTGCCCCATGGCGCTCGGCTGAGCCCAGGGAAGCTGATGCTCCATGGTGAAGGAGGAAACGGGGATGGCTCTGAGCCCTGGCCGTGCCAGGCTGGAGCTGGGCTGCAGGAAGTGGTAGCCTTCAGCCACCGGCCCACAGAGGTGACATACTGAGCCACTGGCTCCTGAGGCCGTCCAGGCTGGAGTGCGACTGGGCCTGCCTCTCACCTGGGTCATCCCCTCTCAGGGCCCCTCGCCTGGGGGAAGAGCAGAGAGCCCCGTGTTCATTCCTGCCTGCGGTCTCCGCTGTGCAGTGGGAGCATAGTGCTCAGGCCGCGGCACTGGGAGGGAGCTCTGGCTCCTGGGATCAGCCCCGGGGTGCACTAGAAGAGATGCTCTCTGGCCACCGTACTTGAAGCCCCAGGTAGGGAAAGGCATGGTCCAGAACCTGCTGAGCATTAATTATATTCTACCTCCTCCCTAGTCTGCTGTGGTGGGGACTGCAGCCCAATCCTGGCTCGGAGACACTTGGACTCAGCCCGCAGCCAGTCCCACTTTATCCCCCTGCTCGGCTCTGCAGCCGCCCCCCACCCCAGGAAGCAGCCATATGTGTGGGGGGGTGCGCCTCTTTTGCTCTCCTCCCTTTGCCTACACTGGGGCCAGGAACGCTTGGTCTGGCATCACCCAGGAGTGGGAGGGAGAGGTGCTGCTGCAAAGCTGAGCTGGAGCCGGCCCTGTACCCAGAGAATATTTTCTTATCGCCCCGGGGGAGGCTCGGGGCTGGGCGCTGTGTTAAAGGACAGGCCTGTACAAAGCTGAGAAATGGGGGTATTTTGAAAGTAATTTATTTTTTTCAGATGCGCTGAGCGGTTAAAGGATAAATCCAACCACCTTCCTTTGTAAAGCTGTGTAACTCATGTGTGAGCGGGAGGCGCTGGGTGGGGATGCAGGGCTCCCGGGGAGAGCACAGCCTGCACGGGGACCCGGCGGGGCCCAGAGGTGCTGTCACTCCCTGAAGGAAAGTGAGCGTGTTTGCCTGCTGCCCATGAAGATGGGCCTAGGGAACCCAACGGGGGGAGGCACTGTCACGTCCCCAGTCTGCTGCTTGGGGAGGGGATGCCAGCCTGGGGCTGGGGTGACTGCAGAGGCCCCGTGGGGCTGTGCTGCAGCAGGTGCCAAGGGGGTTAACCCTGGGGGCAGGAGCTGGGGCTGTTACTTGTAAAGCACTGGGAACTCCAGGCTGCAGCCCAGCCCAGCCCAGCCCGAATGGCTCTCTGCTGAAAGTCACTGGCCCAAGAGGTGCAGGAACCAGCCCTGGGGGTGTGTCCCTGGGAGCCAGCCCTGCCCTAAGTGGAAGAGCCAGCAAGGCCCAGAGTGAGGGCAGCGGCTGGAACTGTGTGGAAACAGCAGCTTAGGGAGGCCCTCTCCAGCCTAGCAGCCACTGCTGGGCTTTGCAACCCAGGTGGGGCGGGGGAAAGAAGCAAAGACCTTGCCTCCATGCTACCCCCCTGCATGGGCTTGGGGCAGCAGTTGACAGCTAGTGTTATGGTCCAAGCTGGCCACAGGCAGGGCAGCCGCTCCTTTGAGGGCTCCAGGGCTGAACACAGGGAAAGACTTTGCCAGTTTCCCCTCTCCTGCCAGCTCAGGACAGTGCAAGCACAGAGGGACCAGGCCCCAGCAGGGAGGTGAGCATGCAGCTCCCCCCCATGCCCCAGTGGAGGGGCAGGGGCTAGCCCACAGAGCAATGCCCAGGCCCTACTGGGGGAGCTCAGCTACTGCAGCTCCAGCTCAGAGGTCACTTTTCCCCCTGCCGCAACAATGCGGAGGGACTCAAAGCTGCCCAAAACCGAGGTAGCAATTCACCCCTAGCTACCATTGCTGGCCCGCATTCCTTGCAGGGTCCAGGGTGCAAGCCTGCAGCCAGCTACTGCTCCTCTCCCCGTGCAAGCTGCCTGTGTCCCCACTTACCAGACAGCACCTGTCCAGCCTGCAGCGTTCACGCTGAAGCACGGCTGAGCCCAGGAGGAGGGAAGGTGGAGCAGGCTCTCTGACTGCCGCGGCAGCCGCTCGCTCCCTGCTGAGTTCTCTGCACAGTCTCTTTTAGGGGAGCTGCTCTGAGACCGGGCAGGCAGGCCTGGCCTGGGGGCAGAGATGGAGGTTGCCAAGGCCAGAGAGGCCTGGGTGACAGTGGCCCATGCCTGTCCCTGAGCAGAGGACAGCAGCAGTGTGCGCAGAGCAGTCACTGGTCTCCTTCAGGCAAAGCTCTCGGGTGCACTGGCGTTCCCTCGCTGGGAGAGCTGTTTAACAATCATTCTATGTAACAGCCTTTAGCTGGGGGATTTCCCAGGCAGGGCCAGCCCCAGCCTCCCCCTGGCTGGCTGCGAGCCTGGCCCTGCACCTGTCCAAACAGCAGCTTTGGCTGGGGAGGGGGCTGCAGGCAGGGCTCTTACTGGAGGTGAATGCAGTCCGGCGTAACTTGCTGTGAGAGCTCGCTAGGGCCCCGCAGCCCAGCCCAACCCAGCCGGACAGAGAGGGGAATTTGCCACCAGGGGCCAGCAAGGCAACCATGGGGGGGGGGGGGGGTGTGGAATAGCTGCAACTTGCCAGTGACCTGTTAACCCTTTCTGGGCAGCAGAGAGCAGGAGGGCAGCTGGGTGAAGAGGTTTATTAGCTACACTTGGCACCATGAGGTCAGAGAAGGTTACATAAATTAGGCACACGACTGGCAGCGCTGGCCAGGCCTGGCCACAAGGCCCTGGCACTTGCGCTCCTAGAAATACTTTAAAAAACATGTTATAAAAACTAATCCGAGTGTTCCTGGGCCCAGTCCATGAGCTCAGAGCAACATTAGCTCCTACCTGTTAAAAATGAGGTAAACCGCCTGGCTCTGGTGCCGCTACGGACGGACGGACACCCCCCCCACCCCACCCTGAACAGCCCCTCGCCTCTACTGCTTGCCCAGGGCTTTGTCCAAGTTGTTCTTGATTGTGTCCAGGAAGTCCGTGGTGTTCATGTAGTGCTCGTTCAGCTTCACGCTGAAAGACAGGGGCAGAGGGTCAGTGGGGACTACCCCAGCAGCCTCTCCCACTGCCAACACAGCCCCTGCGGAGTCCAGCCTGGCTGACTGGGGAGGAGGGGGGACAGGCTACTGCAGCCACCTGCCCCGCATGGTAGCAAGAGCAGGGACCCCATTGTATCTGCTGTGTGAGAGTCAAGCCTCCAGCTCCTCCCAGAGACGCTGGGCACAGGGGCCCCATCCTGTCCCAATTCCCAGTACAAGAGCATCCCCACAAGCCCAACAGCTCCGGGTGCAGGTGCTCAGAGCCAGCTGGGACAAAGGTATCACCCACCCCCTGCAGCACTGGCTTCCCAGTGGTGCTGAAGGGCCCCTGGGGTTGGAGGGCTAAAGGTGCCTGCAGAGTGGGTGGGAGCCGGACAAGGCAAAGGGGCGCAGCCCTGCCTCAGCCGGGCAGCTCTGCAGCATGTGAGCAGAGCCCCAGCCCTGCAGGGAGCCAGGCGCCCCCCCCCCCCCGGGGGTCACTCACTTGCTGAGCCCGTGGATGCAGCCTGCGAGGTCCTTTGTCATAGCGCCACTCTCCACCGTCTCCACGCAGACCTTCTCCAGAGTCTGAGCAAACCTGGCGGGGAGACAGCACGGTCACAGCCTGCACCCCCCTGCAGCCTGTCCTCCCGAAGGCCCTCTGGTCTCGGGCTGGCCAAGGAGCCGGGTTACCCTGACACGGTGGCCAGCCAGGCTCCTTCCACACAAGCGACCCAGGGCCTGGTACAGTGACAGGCCACATTAGCCCCCCACCAGCTGAGGCAAGGCTCCGGTCTCCAGGAAACAGTTACAGCCCTGCCCCGGTGCTCCGCCCCATTGCTTACGTCATGAGATCCGGGTTACTGTCCAGCTTGCCTCTGTGCTCCAGGCCACGCGTCCAGGCAAAGATGCTGGCAATGGGGTTAGTGCTGGTGGGTCGTCCCTGCAGGGGGACAGAGCATCACAACACCTAGCACCAGGGAGGCTCTGGGCAACCCGCAGTAAGCAGTGCCCCCGCAGAGCTGCCGGGAGGGACCCTGGATCCCACCCCACACCTGGCAGGCTCAGGGCAGGGAAACAGGCCAGTCCCCAGCCCCTCCCTCACCCAGAGTGTGAACACGGACTCTCCACTCACTGCCAAGCCCCCTCCCCTGGCACAGGCAGGGAGGGGCCCAGTTGCACCCACAGCCTCACAAAGTGAGTGCAGTGCCTGCAACGGGGGGAAAGGTAGGGGGGGCACACCCACCTTCTGGTGCTCCCGGTAGTGGCGGGTGACAGTGCCATGGGCTGCCTCAGCTTCTATGGTCTTTCCATCCGGGCACACCAAGACAGAGGTCATCAGGCCCAAGGAACCGAACCCTAGAGCACGAAGCAGAGTCCGGTCAGGAGCAGTCCCGGGAGGCCGCACTGGCAGATCCTGCAGGGAGACGCCCTGGGCACAAAGCTGCCCTCCCCAGCCAGGCCGAGCAGGAGGGCCTCAGCCACCAGCCCCTCCCCACAGCAGGGGCTGAGCCAAAGCCGCTGGGTGTGGTGGCCCCCCCGCTCAGCGTTACCTTGGGCCAGGATGTCCGACTGGACGTCCCCGTCATAGTTCTTACAGGCCCAGACGAAGCCGCCGGAGGATTTCAGCACCTGGGCCACCATGTCGTCGATAAGCCGGTGCTCATACCAGATCTTCAGCTTGTCAAACTCTGTCTTGTAGTGCCTGGGGAGCCGAGAGCGGGGTCACCGGGCGCACCCAGAGAGCCCCCGCGGCGCAGACAGGATGTGAAGTGCTGGTACCCAGTAAACCCCTCTGCGTCTCCTCAGACACGGGCTATAAACAGCTTCATGGGCCTTGGAAATAATAGCCCCAGGGCCAGGCCTCCAGCCAGGACCACCCCGCAGAGAGCCACTCCTGCAGGGCTGCTACCATACAGTACACTGGTCCTGCCCTCCTCAGCAGGGGGTGCTGTAGAGAGCGAGGCTGGGGGGCAGTGCCAGGGCCCCCCCCCAGCAGGGGCGCTGTAGGGAGTGGGGCTGGGGGGCAGCGCCAGGGCCCCCCCCCAGCAGGGGCGCTATAGGGAGCAGGGGAGGAGGGAGCGCGGCTCAGGACAGGTTGTGCCGTACTTGTCGAAGATCTCCTGGAAGATGTCTTTGAAGCGCCCATCGTAGGCCTTGAGGATGGTGTTCTTGGTGCTCATGTAGAGGGGCAACTTCTTCTGGATGGCGTACTGGAAGCAGCTGTGAGCGAAGCCGGAGATAGACTGCAAGGGAGGGAGGGAGGGCCAGCCAGTGACTCCCTCAGCGCCAGCTGCAGGCGCCACGGGGCAGGGGAGAGGGCAGCTGAGTCTCTTGGCAGCTGCCTTTGTCCGGGTCCAGGCAACCCCAGATGGGCTCAGGACTCGTCTGGGCAAGGCAGGAGCAGGGCAGCGTCGCTCACCAGTTGCAGGGGGGGCCGGGGAGTGTTAGGGTCACTTAGTCCAACTGCCAACACCCAAGGAGAGAAGGTGCCCGTCCCCCAGCCAGGGCTTGGCTCCCACACTCAGCCTACAGCCTCTGCCCGTTCCCCGGCCCACACCCCTCAGTGCAGCCGCGAGCTGGCTCCCCAGGCAGCACATACAGGGCTGTGCTAGGCCAGAAGGGGAGTCGGGCTGGGCTTCTGCTAGCCAGGAAGGGCACAGCCCCACGGGGAACCCTCACCCCCATGCCAAGAGGGGCTGCCAGCATCAGCTGCTCCCGCCTCGCGCCATCCCTGCAGCACCAGGCCTGGAGAAGACCCCGGCAGCGCCCGCCTGCCTCTCACCTCATCCGTGTTGTACATGCCCATGCCGACACCCCCGCCAGGGAAGTTGTAAACCTCCCACTCCTTCACGGCACTGCCATCCTTCGGGGTGAACACCATCTTGAATGTCCCGGACCTGTCCACAACGAAGTCCGTGGCCTTGTACTGAACAGGAACAGGCCAAAGAGTTACGCTCAGCAGCCCTGAGCCCCCGCCTGCACTCGCTGCCAGCAGCCCCCACCACCCCACATCAGCACCCCTAGGGCTCATGCCAGCCCCCTGCTGCGCCACGGGCACACGGAGCCTGCTGCCATCCAGCCGCCCCCGCCCACACAGGGCCCCCCAGTGGCAGGCTCACCTGGTCGCCATGGGCGTGTCTGCCGATGGTGATGGGCTTGGTCCAGCCCGGGACCAGGCGGGGAATGTTCTTGCAGATGATGGGCTCCCTGAAGACAGTCCCGCCCAGGATGTTTCGGATCGTGCCATTGGGGCTCTTCCACATCTTCTTCAGCTTGAACTCTAAAATCAAGGCGGGGTAAGACATGCCATGGGCCCAGCCCCCCACACACACAAACTCCCCCCTCCACAGCACCCTCCCCCGCCAGGCACCCTGGCAGCCCAACCCCACGCCAGCCCCTGCAGCGCTAGCCATGAGCCATGCCTCCAACAGGGGTGGATGTGTGTGTGTCTTGCTGCTGCTGCTCGCTGCCCAGGGTCACAGCCCGTCACGCCTGAGCCCCTGCTGCTTGGACCGGCTCCAGCCAGCAAGGCAGAGCTCTGAGCCCAGCGAGCAGAGAGCCCTGACCTCCTCCCGCGTCCCTGGGCGACAAGGAGCCAGGCAGCACGGGTAGGTGTCACGCTGCCCAGGGGCTGCTAGAACCGCGGCATCTGTCTGCACCGGGGTCAGTGCTGGGACCCAGCCAGGAGGCAGAGCAGACAGAGGTGCCTCTGCCTGCCCCAGCCGGGGGCTCTGGGCAGCACCAGAACCCAGAGGCTGGAGCTGCCCCTCCACAGGCCCCAGGAGCGAGTACAGCAAGGGGGAGGGGGGCAAGTGCCCCACAGAGAGCAGCCCAGCCCCCCTAAGCCCAGCTCACATGGAGTCCGAGCCCCACTGCTGCCCAGCGTCCCCTGTCTCCCCCTCCCTGGCAGCCTGCCCTCTGCACCTTCCACTCTGGCTTCATCGGGCGTGATGGTGGCGCACTTCACGGCCACGCTGTACTTCTGGGTGGCCAGCGCCGAGTCGATGGTGACCTGGTCGTCCGTCTGGTCCCGGTTCGGCAGGCCCAGGTCGAAGTACTTCAGCTGCACGTCGACGTTGGGCAGGATCAGCTGGAGGGCAGGGTGGGGAGAGGGCGAGCTCAGCGAGGGGCACTGCGCCACGGAGCCAGCGTGCCCAGCTCCCACTGGCACAGGGAGTGGGGCTGCACAGCGGGGCTGTGTCCGAGCTGCCCCGGGGGCTGGGAACGCTGCTCCTGGAGCCACGCCCTCGCCCCGGTACAGACGCGCTGGGGCTGAGCGCAGGAAGCAGTGACGCCGCCTTGGTGCTGCCGCTCCCCTCCCGCAGCCTCGCAGCGCAGATGGAACCTGCCCTGCGGCTGGGGCCACTTCCGGGCTCTCTCACTCGCAGGAAGCTGCAAAGCCCATGGGGGGAGGTTCTCAGACACCTGCTTCCTGGCTGGGGACAGCTGCAGGATGGAGGGAAGCCAGGATCCATGGGGCAAGACTGCATCCTCTCCAGGG